AACCCTAAACCCCCTAAACCCTAAACCCTAAAGACCCTGAACCCTAAACCCTAAACACTAAAGACCCTAAACCCTAAAGACCCTAAACCCTAAACCCCCTAAACCCTAAACCCTAAAGACCCTGCACCCTAAACCCTAAACCCTAAAGACCCTAAACCCTAAACCCTGAACCCTAAAGACCCTAAACCCTAAACCCCCTAAACCCTAAACACTAAAGACCCTAAACCCCCTAAACCCTAAACCCTAAAGACCATAAACCCTAAAAACCCTAGGGGTAATTAGTAGGGAAGCCCTGGGTCCTTAACGCGGGTGGCCCAATTGCTGGCGCGAGCTTTCTGGATGCGGAACCCGACCCCTCCTTTCAACATGCAGCACATGTCCTTAGGAGCCCATTGGGTTGCCTAAACTCTTAGGGTTTAGGATTTAGGGTTTAGGGTTTAGGGACTTCGGGATTTAGGGTTTAGGGTTCCTAAACCCTAAGCCTTAAACCCTGAACCTACTGCTCAGGGTGGTCCAGTAGCCATATTACACAAGGAGTCCCCCCCTTCTCATTGGCTACTTGTATGAAGGAACTCAGAACCCATGAAGGGTACAAGGGGTACCACTGGGCTTCCTTGTAGTATTTAGGAGGATCTACCCTAAACCCTAAACCCAAAGCCCTAAACCCTAAACCCTAAACCCCTTATATGTATGGAGAAGTACCACATTACTACAGATTGGAGTTTTTCTCCTGGATGGCTCCAATTAAGCTATCCCTGGTTTAAACCCTAAGCCCCTAAACCCTAAGCCCTAAACCCTAAACCCTTAACCCCAAGCCCTAAACCCTAAGCCAGCCCTACACCCTAAACCCTAAGCCCTAAACCCTAAGCCCGAAGCCCCTAAGCCCTAAGCCCTCAACCCTAATCCCTAAGCCCCTGAGCCCTAACCCCTCAACCCGAAGCCCTAAACCCCAAGCCCTAAACCCCAAGCCCTAGGCCCTAAACCCTAAGCCTCTAAAACCTAAGCCCTACACCCGAAAAAAGAAAAAATACTGTTGCGAAGCTGAGGATCCCTGGACATTGGCCTTTCTTCCTCCATGCCTGGTTCTGCATTCTGATTTAGGGTTTCGGGTTTAGGATTTAAGGTTGTAGGTCCAGGATATAGGGTTTAGGGTGTGTGGGCTTTTTTGTATGGATTGAGGGTTTGGGGTTTAGGATTTAGGGCTTAGGGTTTAGGGTTTGAGGCTCAATTCAGAGAAGTCATCATGTGCTGATGGTATTGGTTTCTTTTTTGCCGCCAGGGTTTAGTGCTTAAGGTTTTAAGTGTGTATTCGTTATGGAAGTCTCGGTAGGATGCGAAGTGCAGCTATAATTTAACTTCTCAGTTGAAGCCCCCTCGTACCAACCCTAAACCCTAAACCCTACACCCTAAACTTCCTACACCCTAAATCCTACACCCTAAACCCTAAAACCAAAACCCTAAGCCATTAAACCCTAAAGCCTGAAACCCTAAACCCTTAATCCTAAACCCTAAACGCTAGATCGGAAACTCCAGAAATCAGGAGCTGCTTGGTACCAGATACAGAGATCCGAAGAAGGCTGGGTCTTGTAGTTCATGCTCATCTTGCCCAATAACCCACCTGGTGGAGGGTTTAGGGTTTGGGGATTAGGCTTCAGGGATAAGGATTTAGCCCTAAACCCTAAACCCTAAACCCGAAACTCTAAGGGTTAAGGGTCAAAGGGTTTCGGCTTTAGGTTTGGGGGTTGAGGCTTTAACTTGGTAAAGTTGAATGCTAAATGGGACCCCCAACTTCCCCTAGACCATAACACCTTAGTCCCTAATTCCTCCCAGACCCTACAGGGTTTAGGGTTGAAGGTTCAGCTAAGCCCTCAATCTTCCAAAAAAATCCTAAACCCCCGAAACCTCAGACCTCAAACCTCAAACCCTAAACTCTAAACCCTAAACCCTAAACCCCAATTCTTGGACCCAAAACCTTGTGTCAACCTGCAGCACATTTGCGCGCCATCGACATCTGCCTAGGATTTAGGGTTTAGGGTTTAGGAGTAGGGCTTAGTGTTTAAGATCTAGGGCTTTGGATTTAGGGCTTAGGGCTTCGGATTTAAGGCTTTGGATTTCGGATTTTGGGTTTAGGGTTTACGGTTTAGGGTATAGTGAAATGGAAACCCTAGGTCCATTTCAAGGGGTATTGTGAGGATGCTACATCGATGATGGACAAGAAAATGAAGGCTTCTATTTAAATGGTTTGGGGTTCAATGGCTTAAGGGCTCTAGGGCTTGAAGGTTTAGAGGTTTGGAAAACCCTAAACCCTTAAACCCTAAAACCCTAAACCCCCTAAACCCTAAACCCTAAAACCCTAAACCCCCTAAACCCTAAACCCTAAACCCTTAAACCCTGGACCCTAAGCCACCTAAACCCTAAACCCCTAAACCCTAAACCCTAAATCCTAAACCCTAAACCCTAAACCCTGCTTGGCCTTGAGGGTTGAAATTTCAGGGTTTCATGGTCTTAGGGCTTTAGGGCTTTAGGGTTTAGAGTGAAAAGGCTCCTAGATGAACCCAAAAAGATACCAACGTGAGCTTTTGACGAGGGTACACAGCTTCCCAGAAAGAGGAACGAATCTATGGCCCCTATATAGCCGCTACATAACTCCCAAACAAACCCTGCATAGAATCCGTACATAACCGCTATATAAACCCTACATACTGCCAAAATATCCCAGCTAGAACCCTAAATCATACAATCCTAAACCGAGCTGCATGGTAGTAGCGCGGATCACTTGTGTCTTCGAAGACGGGGCAATCCCTGTAGTCTTCCACCGTCCGGCACTGGCAAGTTACCTGTAGTTGCATGCACACATAGGGTTTAAGGATTTAGGGCTTAGGGTTTAGTGTTTGGGGCTTAGGGTTCAGGGCTCAAGGGCTTAGGGCAACAAATGACACTGCAACGATGTTGATGATAATAACAAGAGTGGTCCGACCATAGGAACCCAAAACCTGGTGTAAAGTGTACCTATCCAAGTGATGCCTCGCCCGTAGTCCAATCAACCCAGCTAGGCAAACCATGGGGTAATGCTAGTTGTGGAAGCACTCTAGTAGAGGGACTACACAGGATGTGTTTCACCCTTAACAAGAAACCATCTGAAGAAACTCCAGATATCTAAATCCAAAACCCTACACCCTCAACCCTCCTGAACCCAGACACCATCAAGGAATGTAGCAATGTATACAGACTACAGGCACCGAACCTTGAACCCCCAACCCTAGATGTAAACCAGGGCTCCAGGTATGTAATCCCAGAACCCCCAACCCCAAAACCCTGAACCCCCAACCCTACACCCTAAAACCTCTAAGCCTGAACCCTAAGCACTAAACCCTATAAATCCTAAAAATCCATATACATATACATATCTATACACCCCTATATATCCCTTCATAGGGACCCACTTAAGAGGCAGATTCCAGGTACCGCCTTGTCAGCCGAAGCTTGCATGCCGTCACTTGTTCGCACGCCATCCACAGAGTTGACGACGGACGCCAGCACCTCACTTCGGGGTTTAGGGTTTAGGGTGTAGTTTAGGGTTTAGGGTTTTTGGTTTAGGGTTTAGGGTTTAGGGAAGGGGTTGTAGGGGTATAGTCCCCCCTAAGTAGATAGGATATGGCTTTGGGTATATTATAATAAGATCCCTATATACCCCATATTCTATCTACTTAAGGGGACTTCAACGAAGAAGGGGTTGTAGGGTACGGGTGTAGACTTTAGGGGTTGGGTATACGGGGTTTTAGGTTTGAGTTTGGGGTTTGGGATTGGGGGTTAGGGTTTAGGGACAAGAGTAGGAAACCACATGCAATATGAAGTTGAAACTGGGCTTCTACAAGGTCTTCAGGAACCTTAATAACCAAGAACGTAAGTTAACAGACTTTTTTTGGCAGATCATCACAACTATGGTCCCTTTTGGAATCCCTAAACCCTAAACTCCCTAAGCCCTGGACCCTATAAGCCCTAAAGTGATTTATAGTAGGAACTCAACAGGCTTCTGTTGGCCAAGTGAGGCACCAGCACTGCCACATGACGCAAGAGCATTGCCATCTCAAACAACGAACGACTAAGATATCTGCAGCTGAAGCCCTACGAGAAGTGGCTGCAGAAATCAAGGGGTTGAGTTTTTATGGTGTATGGTTCAAGGACGTTGCAAATCAGGGACTGAAAATTCGGTACCACAAATAAGTCCTAAACCCTAGACCACCACAATGGCAACTTAGTTTAAGTTCCGTAGCAGAAACCCAGATTCATCCTGTGACCATGGCGCATCTGCGCAACACCAAGATACAACCCCTATATAATCCCCATATAGACCCCATACACCCCCGTATGTAGTCCCCCGTAAGTAGGGTTTAGGATCTAGGGTATGGAACTGACCAAAACCCCACATATCCCACATTCTATCTACTTAAGGGGAACGGTAACACCATATAATCCCAATACAACCCCCATATAACCCTGCAAAGCCAACTTATCCACAAGGATTCCCCCGCCTGGCCTATGCTCAACAGGCAATGGAGGAGTGAAAACCCAGACCCCTGGGAGGATCTTGAAGCAGAACCCCCAATATGGTACTCTATACTACTATTCGGTAATTTCTAGGAACCCTTAAGGGAGATCTACTTTCTAGATCCTCCCAGGGGTCTCGGAAAGAACTAGAAACTACCATGCTCTTGAGGATGATGTAGGGAATCCTGCAAGGATCCGTCCCCCCAAACCCCAAACTCTAGACCTTACACCCTAACTGGGTTCTTGCTGAAATACCATTAAAAAAGATCGCTTTTTCTTGATATCGGGCCCAGGTATCCATAAAAATGTAAAAATTTTGTTCTACAAGAGCCCAGCTAAGCCGTATTCATCCTGGCGAAACGCCCATACACATGGGCAAGGACAAACTCTTCGTCTCTGCGCACTCCTTTTCATCTCACATGAGCCAGGACAAGCTGTACATGAGGTCCGCGACACTTTGCCAAGGACCTACCTGCCTTGAAGGATTGAACTTACTGGGGATTAGTAGGGATAAGGGAATATATTGTATGGGTTAGGTGGACCCCCCACCCTGTAATAGTGACTATCAGGGATAATAAGGAATATATTAGGGTCCTACTCTATTCCTATTATACCACTATTACAAGGTGGGGGGTCCTCCTAATGTATGGGGATTTCTTTGGGATTATTTTGAGTTCATATACAGACTATTGTCCCTTTATTCCCTACCAACCACCAGTAAGTTAAAAACAACCAGTGCTCCCCTGGATGTATACCACAGCCACTGGCTGTAAAGAGAGCCTGTTGCAATGTTGAAATCCTATAGTCCCCCTTAAGTAGATAGAATATGGGATATATGGGGATCTTATTACAATATACCCAAAGCGATACTCTGTTTACTTCAGGCGGACTATACATTCCAAACCCTTCTAACCGCAAGTGGCACACCCACGCCGCGACTTGTGCGAGCAATGTGGAGACAGGAGTTTGCAGCAAGAACTAGAGTCCCCCTTTAGTAGATAGAATAGGGGTATATGGGGATATTAATATAATTTACCCAAAGCCATATTCTATCTACTTAAGGGGGACTATATGCCTGTAGCTGCAAACTGCTCAAAATGAGATTAAGCTGCAAATTTAGCTACTGCTCTGCAGCATGCTTCCGCATCAACATGGATCATGGGCTCCCTACTACCACCCCCTCTTCTTCCCCGCACGGTTTCCCCTTAATTAGGTGTAATTCGCCGAGGCATCCAGCTTCAGGTCCCCCACCCCGCCATGGTGGGTGGCCTTGTCCAGCCTGACCATCCCGCATGAAATTTCAGCCTCGCCCAGTACGCGGCAGGGCGCTTTTTCGTTCAAAACGGTGGCCCTGCAAAAAGCCTGGAGGCCCCTGGAAGCCCCTCGAAGCCCCTGGAGCCACCTGGAACGGCCTGGAAGCGCCTGGAAACCCTCCACATGCATGGATGAAGCTGAATAACCTCTACAAACCCTAATATATACTATGGCTTGCAATATATACTATGTCTTATTTATGGGTTTCGCGTTTTGGGTACACTTAATTGGGATTTGCGGTGGATTATGACAAGAGCACTTTTGCGAGATACGAGGAGTTTTAGCTACCGTTCTGTGGCTAGACCCCAATATACATTTAGACTATTGG